GCCTTGCAAATTCGTAGCATTGCCACGCCATAGCTCTCTTGGCTGCTCACGAATAGCTAGAATAGAAGAACAAACAGTATGGTGATACGGCTGTCTTTCGGCAATACTATCAGTTCCCCCCCCCCCCCCCCCCCCCCCCCCGATGACCCTTCTGCTACTCGAAAATTCGGGTATCTTCTTGGCAACGTTTTTATTGCTTGGAACCCAGCGCCATTATGATATTTCGGTTAGTCCTAATATCTCGCTTACCCGAAATCCAACGAACTGGCGGTACCGCCTGCTAGAGTCTACCCAGAACACTCGTGTGGTAAATTTCGTGTTGATTGTTGATGCGGTTACCTGTGCGTAATGTGTTCCAATCGTTGCGGTCTGCAACTCAAGCTTTGATGTTGACATCTGTTTTAGCGGCGCCACTTTTGCCTTGCTGCCCACCAAACCACTCTGCTTGTCTCCGCAACATGAAGAATACCGCAAAGTAACCATTTTCGGTCGAATCTACAAACATATGCATTTCCACTTCTGAATCATTCAGTGGACCTCGGTATTTTCATCTTCTCTACGTCTGGTATGTGTTGGACCCGACGCTGCCATTTCTTCCATTCTGCTTCTTCTATTGTTGCATCCAAGAAATCAACAATTCAATCGAGTCTGTCATCCCGAAGAGGCCCAAATTTATTCAACTTTATTCCCATCACCTCAATGATAATCTTATTTTCATAGTAGAGATTATTTGATGTACAGATTGCGCATCTAGCATGAGAGTTTTCACTACGTTTCTCGCTGGGCCATCTAAAGCATTCCTCAGCCTCATGAGATCCTTAACATTCTCCTGCGCTTGCTTTTCCGCTGCTTCCGCATGTGTCCTTTCATTATACGCTGATGTCACCAATTCGCCACAATATTGCGCTTCAAGCGCCATTCCCCAAGGCAAATTCTTACATCTTTAGCAGCGCCATCCGATGCTAGGTTTCATCTCTGTATCGCACTGCATGTTGCATTTCTTTATACGGTCACCGCCATTGCAGCTGACCATATTGTCTGCGGATGAACACACAGTACAGCTGAACAAGGCCCTTCATGCGGAGATAGCATCACGGCAATTCTTGTATAAAAGAATTTAAAGAAATGTTTCAGCACTTCGAGTTTTCGCAGCGCCGCATAATTTGTAAGCACAAAAATTGAGCCCAGCAAAAACTGGCAAGACAAGACGAGTCAATCTAGCCATGCTTGTCCATCCGTCCGTATAAGCACCTGGATCTCAGAGACTATAAGAGATAGAGACACCAAATTTCTCTCAAAGATGCCTTATGTACGTACGCTATACGAGTTTGTTTTATTTTTTTGATTCCCCCCCCCCCCCCCTCCACTTCCCTCCTATGGGGGTTTTCCCCTTTTTCCATTCGTATAATCGCTTATATCTCGGAGACTATAAGACCTAGGAACACCAAATTTTAGTCCAAGATGCCTTGTGTGAATACGAAGAAATTTTATATTTTGGAATTTCCCTCCCTTCCGCCTCTCCACCGCAAATCGTAACTCCCGTAATTCTTGGAATTTCGAACTAAAATACCCCCAGTTGGTTATTATGTGTCCGTATGCCAAGTTTCACTATGATAGACCGACTTAACAAGAAGTTATAGCCATAAATATATTTGCTGCTGCAGCGCTGCTCAAGCGTTGCCCAAGCACTGCCCGCGGCTGTTGTTGATGTTGCTGTTTGGTTGACTGCTAACATGTTTACACACACACGAATAGATGCGCATAGGCATACATACACTCACACAGACGCAATTGCTATGTAAATGTGCAATTACTATATGAACCCTTTACGTGAGTTCGAATACCGAGAAAGGTAAAACCGTTCAAAATTTGTTTTTTTATTTTCTTAATTTTTTTTTTATTTTCTATAATTATTGTAAACATATGTACAGAGTATTTCAAAGTCGGGACACCCGACTTTAGCTTTTTTACTTGTTTTTTGTTAGAAATTGCCACTTTAATCATACTGTTTTTTTATAACTTAATTTAAACCTAGAGCTAAATTCAAATACAGCTTAAGCTAGGAGCTTAGTCTTATATAATTTTATATTATTTATACTGTTGGTGTATGCCTTAAAAATCCGCATATTAGCCAATAATACAAATCAGGTCAGATGTGCGCTAAATAATTGCATGCTAGCATATATTACAAAGTCAGCCCGATTCGCAAACTTAGTGCCACACTTCCGTAAATGCTGACCTAACTAGTGCATCGTCAACATACAGTACGTCGCTGCCGTGCCGTTCACTGCACCCAAGCCACTGTATTCGTCAGCCGTCTACGCTACCGCCGTTCTTCGCTGCTACCGTCCGCTACCGCTGACACGGCGGAACTCACCAACTTCATTTAGATATAAATGGCGTAATTATCTTTAAGCAAATCAGTTGTAGAAATATTGAATAAACAATAAAGACTACAAATCATAGTCCACCTAGTTACAAGTGCCGGTTGCGACAATAACACTGCTGCTAGTTTATGTGCTAGCAGCAACAAACATTCAACTATACATATACTTTATATAAATCGATTAGCAAGATTGATCTTTTCAGCCTACTCCTCCTCATTATTCCTCTTCCTTCCTTGCTAACACATTTGCGTGGGTTCGCAGGCGCACCATGTATTGAGCAGCCTGCTCATTTAGCATGTCATCAACTTTCAGCACATCGAGACCCAAATATTTGTAGCTGTTAGAATGATTCAACAGCTGGTCCTGCAAAGTGACGCCAGGGCAGCTCTTTTTGGGCAGTGCATGTCACCTATGCGCACTTGCTTGCGTTGATGCCAATGTTCCAGCGCTTTGCCGGCAGACCCCACAAAGTATATATATTCTTGATCAGCATGACGAGACGAATCGATCTAGCCCTGTCTGTCTGTCTGTCTGTCTGTCCGTATGAACACCTGGATCTCAGAGACTATGAGAGGTAGAGACACCAAGCTTTGCACAAAGATGAGTTATGTGTGTACGTTGTGCAAGTTTGTTTTATTTTTTTGATCTTCCCCCCCACTTCCCCACTATGGGCCTTTTTCCGATTTTCCATTCGTATAACCGCCTATATCTCGGAGACTATAAGACCTAAGGACACAAAATTTTAGTCCCAGATTCCTTATGTGAATACACAGAAAATGTATTTCTTGGAATTCCCCTACACCCCCCCCCCGAACTAAAATTTTGCAAATACCCCCAGTTAGTTATTCTGTGTCCGTATGCCAAGTTTCATCATGATAGACCAATTTAGCAGGAAGTTATAATCAAAATATATTTGCTGATGCTTTGGTTGAGTGCAAACATGCTTACACAGGCACGAATAGACGCGTATTAACATACATACACTCACATAGACGCAATTGCTACGTAAATGTGTAATTGTACACCCTTTCCGTGATGTCAAATACCGAGAGAGGTAAAATTGATCCAATTTTTTTTTAATTTTCTAAATTTTTTAATTTCTATAATTATTCTAAGCATATGTACAGAGTATTTCAAAGTCGGCATACCGGACTTTAGCTTTTTTACTTGTTTTAATTTCTTTTTTTCACATGACTTTGTTTAAACTTACAGTATGCTTAAATTGCATATATGTTTTATTTTATTTCTTTGCTTATTATTGTTTTTCATAATTTTTTACTTGTTTTAACATTGATTCCTGCCTACTTTTATGCATCTTTACGGGTCATTTGCAGGGACAGTTCATAATTATAATATTTCTTACAGATATAGAAGCATACATATACATATTTTAACTTAACTAGGCATTACAAGTTTTTATTTTCGCTTAACCATTAATTTTCCCGCTTCGTCGTTTTCCTCCCCGGTCTTTTAGAGCCTATGGGCTCAGGTAGTGCCGGTGCTGGTCATCGCACAAGCTTGGTCACCTTGAAACGGTTGGCGGTGCCGGTGCCGGTCATCAATAACTTCTGGAACGGGAACAGGTGGTGACGCCTTCACCGAGACGCTTGCTTGCGTCGTCCAGGACGATGATTCACACTCATGAATTTTGAATTTTCCTCTTCAACTCGACCTGCTTCTCCTTCTTCTCGTAGTATTCCATAATTTTGAGACGCTGTTGCTGGACGAGACGTCTCTTCTCCATGTTGAACTGTTTTCGTACATCAGCATCGCTTAAAGCCACCGTGACAGATTTTTTTCACGTGCCTGCAGTGTGTGTGTCTTCTGCCCGTCTCCTGCATGATGTTGCTCCAGCTCGGTTTGGAAGTACTTGCGCTTCACGTCAAAGTCCATAATGCTAGTGTGATTGACTAGCAATGGCACGTCCGACAGATGTATAGACCGTTGTTATTCTCGTTTTTTTTTTTCGTATGCACCCAACTTTTAATCATAATAATGCAGAAATTTATAATTTTTGTAGTTGCAATCGGAGGTGCAAAGATAGCAGCTGTCATGGTCACCATGACAACCTCGAGGTGTTGTTTTAATTCAACTCTTTATTCAAAGTCCAAATATAAACAGATTCTTAAATTTTTTACTTAAAGTAAACTTAGCTAAGGCCGCGTAGCTGCGCTGCCTGAAACGCCGGCAGCAGAGCGGCCGCATTATATATTAACTTATATACTTAGCGCTGTTAGCAGCGAGAGCGCGAGAGAGAATAACATGCACACATGAAGTGATTTTGATAAAGACGCAGACGCTGCATTAGTGCGATGTTACGTCGCGCCTGAAATATGCTAGTTTACGTAACCACTGCAACAAAGTGTTGCAGTGTGTATTCTTATGAATGCACTGCGTACAGTGTGTACTCTTTATGTGCGCATACTACAGATACCTAATCACAGTACCGATGTAGTCTTCATGGCCGGGATCGAAATATTTCAGAATGGCCTCGTAGATATCAGGATAGAAAAAATTTTTAAATCAAAATCCCAACAGTATAAAATATTTATAAAACGTATGAGCCTTCAATTAAATTAAGCATTATATGTTTTGAAAAATATTATATTCCAGATGCTGAATTGGATCCAAATCGTCCATCAAGAAAGTTTTCTGCACCAAGGCCACTCGAAGACAATGTTGACTTGGAATCAAAGGAAAAGCAGCGCTTACGTAAGGAGCGGCTGTTGACGGTAAACGAGGAGCCTTTTCAAAAGTAAGATACTTTCATTATTTAAAACATATAAAATGATCATTTTTAAACTTACAGACCTGTGAAGGATGATAATCAAGTAGCCGAAGAAGAAAAAAAAGGTCTCTTGGCCAAAGAAGAGCGCTTGGCAGAAGAAGCTCGTAAGGCCGAAGAAAAGCGATTAGCCGAAGAAGCACGGTTGGCCAAAGAAGCACATAAGGCCGAAGAAGCGCGTTTGGCGGAAAAGGTGCGCCTGCAAGAAGAAGCACGCTTAGCTGAAGAAGCGCGCTTAGCTGAAGAAGCACGCTTAGCTGAAGAAGCGCGCTTAGCTGAAGAAGCGCGCTTAGCTGAAGAAGCACGCTTAGCTGAAGAAGCGCGTTTAGCTGAAGAAGCACGCTTAGCTGAAGAAGCGCGTTTAGCTGAAGAAGCGCTGTTAGCAGAAAAAGCACGATTAGCAGAAATAGCACGATTAGCTGAAGAAGAGCGATTGGCCGAAGAAGCGCGATTGATCGAAGATGCGGTTTTAGCCGAAAAAGCACGTTTAGCTGAAGAAGCACGTTTAAATGAAGAAATTAAATTACGAGAGGCTTCCTTGAACCGACTAGCTGAAATCGAAAAGCAGGCCGATGAAGAGAGTGAGGCTGAACTTGCTCGGCAGGCTTCTGAGCTGGCCATAATCGCTCGGGAAGAAGCAGAAATTGCTGCCCATGAGCAAGCCATCAGGCAAAAATCGATAAGTGAAGAACTTGAACCTATTATTGACGATCCCGAAACACATGTTGATCACGATTACCAGGAACCGATAATAGATATAAACGTTGATATTAAAAATGTATCATCAGATCACCTCAACATTACTGATGAAGATGCTGAAGAAGAGGAAGAAGTATAGAAAACATTAATTTAAATGTATCAGTTTAACAGGTCGTGGTGAACATTAATTTTAAAATTACACCACTCAATCCAAATAATGTGCAGTTGATTTTAGTACTTTGGCTTTATTAAGCATATATTAAGCTAATAAATTGTCATTGTATAACAATTTGTGTTCCTATTATTTAATTACACCCGATATTGTCTTGTCATACTTAGCTCGTGAAATGGTTGTTATATGTTTATATCAGATATTTGTGTTGTTTGTAGTAGTAGCTAGGGGAGCATGATTCTTCTATTCTCACAGTAACACTACATGTAAATCGTGGTTTAAATGGTTAGTAAATCTTCTACAAAGAAAGCCAGTAGAGTCCCCCTGTGCATAGAATAAAAGTATGGTTCAGCTTAAATTTACCATACATACAAGCGACACCAGCAGAGCTCAATAAAAACACTACTTGTTCAACAAAATTCTGAATAAGTAAATAGGTTAGATTAGATAGATCGCCGTTGGCTGTCACTCCTAGACGATGTTGGTTCTTAGTACTGCCGGGTATAAGATATCAGATTGAAAAGCATGCCACAAGTGCGATTGGATATATTTACTGCCTCTTTCAATGAAGCCAGCCGTTATTTTAGTCAGTACTTTTGGTCAGTGGTATAGATTTCCAACATCTATGAGTAGGCCTGTGACGAGTCTGAAACCATTTCTCCTAGGCTTCAGGAGGAATATAATGAAATTGTGGCTTTTACTTTTGTACGTTGTATAATAGTATAGATACCTGTTAGTGTTAATTTATGTCCCATAACAATGTATTGTCAATGTCACTCGCACTTGACCGTATTATGAGCTACGCATGGGCCACGCATGTGCACACGAAGCCAACGCAAGCAGTTTTTCTTAGATAATGTGAAAATAACAGCCGTGCATGTGCATATAACAACCACCATCCGGCTGCAACGTCTAACGCTGGATGTTATGATACGCACGCACCGATACAGCGAGCTGCATAAATCACCCCAGGGACGCTGTATTCTTGGACACAATTATTATTAGAAATATTTTGACCTACGCACACTCAAAAAGAATATTCGTGCTGTTCTGGCCTCACCTTTCTTTTCAGTATATCCAAGTACAAGTACTGCAAATTTCACGTGTACAATCTCAGCTACTAGGTCGACACTAGTGGCTAACATTACAAATAACAAAGTATTGTTGGTGACCCCGACGTGATCCTTAACACGAACTTGCACAGCGTATACAAATAAGACATCTTTGTGCAAAATTTGTGTTCAGGTGTTCATACGGACTGACGGACAGACAGACAGACAGACAGACAGACAGACAGACAGACAGGGCTAGAGCGACTCGTCTCGTCATGCTGATCAAGAATATATATACTTTGTGGGATCTGCCACGCCTCCTTCTGCCTGTTCACTTTTCAGCCCGCGCAAACCTAATATAGTCTTCTACATTTAATGTACAGAGTATAAAAACTTTATACGATTGGCTGATATTGAGCTTCAAAAGCAGGATGCATGGGGTGTGCTAATTGGTGTCGCGCAGTGTATGTATGTACCGTTTCGACATGCCGAATGTTCTGTTAATACATAAAACGTTGACCTTGTATACACAAATCGAAGGCAAACGATCACTACGCATATATATACATAAAACGTTGACCTTCTATATATATTGAGTATTAGCAAACGCAGTAACTTCCAGAATTACCGGCAAACCAAAAACGACGCCACATCTTCCAACGATATGGGTGAAAATTCGGAAGCATGCCAACTTAAAAACGACATGAAGAAACGACAAGAAATGGTAGCACAACTCTGAAAGCACAAAATGTAAACTCTTTCTTCACATTTAGTAACACGCCATGCTTCCATCAAAGAGATCGCCGACACATTGCCCATATTTGATCCAACGAACGTTGAGGGAATTACCGTTGACCAATTCATCGCTCTTGTAAACAACGTAAACGACGCTTACCAATGGGATGAAAAATTCGTATTGTTAGCTATATATACGCGATTGAAAGGAGCTGCATGAATGTGGTTGGATTCATCGCAAGACTTTTATAAATCATGGCGAAATTTCGCTGACATCTTGAAATCTGAATTTGGGTTAGACCCTGATCAAGCCTGGCTAGGGCGGTCCGATATCCGAAGGAGGCGGTGAAGGAATATTGTTTCCGTATATCTTCTCTTGGTAGCCGTTACAAACTGAGCGAAACAGCTTGTATCAGATATGCTCGCTCTGGACTTAAACACCGTTAACTACTGAAAAGCAAAGCTCCTGTTAATTTCACCACTATTAAGCAAATTCGGGAGGTCATCAACAACTATTTTGTTAACTGAGGCAAGCTAAACGATAATAAACAAGTAAAGTATCGAAGTTGGCAGCAAGCAGACGTGTTTTACTTTCGCTCTGAGAAAATTTATAAATAATAAAATTAAATACAACTTTATATATTCACGGAGAACTCTTTTGAAAACGTGTGCAGTTGTTATCACAATTTAATTGCGCTCCCTAAAGAATTGTTTGTTTTTAAATCAATAAAGGCTTTTTAAAGAAAAGACTCACAGCAACAACAGAAAGTGCTTTTTAAGCCCGCAAAGCTATACAAACAGACTTTACAACACCAATACGTAAACACTTAGCTAAAGTCACACAAAACATAATTGCATTAGCGCTCAACCATTCACTCAACAAATCACTCAAGACAAGATAGAACGCTACAGTCGAGCAAGCCCGACAGTAAAATAGCCTGTACTCTCCACAAAAAAGAAAAATTAAAAAAAAAAAATAATTAAAAAAAAAATTAAATTATTAAAAAAAATGAATGAATTAATTAATTAATTAAATTAAATTAGAATACATGTTTATGTTCAGTTTTAACAGCATACATTTACATCACGTACCTATGCGTGTTTATATGCGTGTATGTATGCAGCACAAAGTTGAACCAAAGCAGCAACAACAACAACAGCTGCGGGCAGCGCTGCCGACAGAGCTGCAGGCAGCGCATGAGCAGCGATTTTACTTATGGCTATAACTTTCTTCAGAATTGACCTATCATGATGAAATTTGGCATACGGACACATTAGTACTAACTGGATGTACCTACCAAAATTGATAAATGATGATATAAGTTATAAGAAAAAACACGAATTGCGGGGGAGTGGGGGGGTGCATCGAAAAAAAACTCAAACTCGTACTTTCTCGTTCTTAGGAGAATATGGAAACCAAGTTTGGTTATTCTAGCTCTTATACTTTCTGAGATCCTTGCGTTCATACGGACAGACGGACAGACGGACGGACGGACAAGGCTATATCGACTCGGCTTCTCATCCTGATCAAGAATATATATACTTTGTGGGGTCTGCTACGCCTCCTTCTGTGTGTTACATACATGCGCACAAAACTAGTATAGCCTTTCACCCTTTGGGTACAGGCTATAACAAGAAAACACATCGTAAAAACCAACTCAAATTACACCTAACAACATGGCACCGCAACCGAACAAACGCGCATGCGAAAACACCACCACTGACCTCAAGGAAGGCCGCCAGTCAGAAGCAATATCAGCAAAGATACTGGCCATGATCAATCTTCGTTTTGAGGAGCAGGCCAGCCTACTCACCACCAATATGGGAGATGCAGAGCAGCGCATCCTCAACGCGCTGCTGGAACGATTTGACCACTTGGCCGATGAAATGAAGCAACTTTATGACAGGGTGGACAGACTAAATGAGCGGATGAACATTATAGAGCGCGAGATCGGAGAGCTGCCTATCAAAATATGCGGACATTGTACAATACCGTCTGCTTTGCTATCCACATCACACCACCGCCGAGAATACGCGAAATCTTTCGTGCTCGGAAAACAAAGGTATCTGAAGTTGATCCCGACATTATTATTAAATTCGAAAATTGGAGAGAAAAATCCACGTTGCTGAAGGCAGCCACAGCTTACCGTCGCGAACATATAAAGCCACTGAACTTGCAAATGTTAGGCTTCAACTCTCCGGCCCCCATATACATTAATGACCAGCTAACAAGGGACAAGGACAACTATAATATCTTAAAAGAAGCGTTAAAGCTTAAGAAGCAGAAGCATGTGGTTGCTGTTTTCTCACGAAGAGGCCCAGTACACGTGAAGCATAGGGATAATGAGAGTGCGAAGCCCATACTAAGCAGAGACGAGCTTTTAAAGTTCGCCCAGTGTAATGAGCGTGAGTTTCGCTCTCCCTCTGACCGTAATTCTGCTCTGGAAACCAATGCTAACTTTTACTGATAATATACGTTTTATGTTTCATTTCAAATTGCTAAATTGCTCTTTCTATGTACTCTTAATTGTAAATGTAAATGTATTTATAGTGGGCAGATTCATTAGTGCTTTTGTATGTTGTACAATGCGTGGGCGTTGAATTTTTTTGAATCCATGCCAGATGTCCTAAGTCATGTGTCCACAGCGAACAGTCGAACGATTAACTCGAATAATGGTTCGACTGTGCAAGCAAAAGAAGGGTCTACATATGTGCAACCTCAATGCACAAAGTCTTGTTAAAAAAATTGAAGAGTTTAGACATTTATTTGTCAATTCCAATGTTGATGTAGTTTGTGTGTCTGAAACGTGGTTTGTTTCTAGTCTTAGTGATCAATCTATATATTGTGATGGGTATAATGTTTATCGTTCTGATCGTGATGGGCATGCGAGGGGTGTGGCCATATATGTAAAAAATGTCAGATGATTAGCAAACAGCCGTTGGGCAGCAATATTGAATATCTGTTCTTGAAAATAACAACTCGCAGCAATACTGAAAGCATTCTTGTCGGATGTGCTTATAGACCAAACAGGTTAACGGATTATAGCGATTTCATGAACACCTTTCACTCGGTTTCTTTAAAACACAACAATTTTGTGTTAGCTGTTGTGTTTTAACAGCAATCTGTTAACTGATCATCACCTCAGGGACGATATGATCTCTCTTGGCATGGGACTAGTAAATACTACTTTACCGACGCACTTCTCCAACACTTGTGATACCCTCCTTGACGTATTTTTTGTTAAAGACACCAAAAATGCTATCCTATTTGACCAGCTTTCAGCACTAGCCTTTTCTAAACACGACATGATTTTCTTGACGTATGACATTTA